TACCACGTTTTATCTAGCTAAGATATTTCCCCGGGCTCTGAAAGCTGTTGGGGTCCATACGTGCGCTGGCTGCAACACAAATACAGGGGTTTACGCCAGTGCATGGCTTGCTCGGGATGCTCATCTCCTCCCGAGGCCGGCGATGCTCCGAGACGCAGGGAACTTCAGCACATCTTTCATCCTCCCCCCTCTCCTTGTTTGTTTTCTCCCGATCATCATTCCTCTAGCAATCTCTAGGGAATTAAAACTATGACACAGCCCCTAAGATGCACTGTAAGACATATTTGAAAGGACATGGAGATTCAACAGCTACAGATCAAAGCTCAACAAGAAAAGGATAAACTTGAGACATGAAGCAGAGAGGCAGCAAAGAGGAGATGGCAGCTCTTGGCCCCTCTAGTTGCTTTTAGAAATCAGGCTGCAGTTTAACRCAGAGCTGCATCCCCCCCCTTCTCCAACACCAAAACATTCCCTAGATAAAATTAACATTCCCTGCTTCATTTCCCAACACAACCTCCTTTCCTAGAGCCTTAAAGCCCTTCATGCACCACCACATCAGGCAGGAAGGGAGGATGGGGAAGGGAAGAGAAAAGCCATTTTGAATCTCCAAGCTCAGGCAGAGAAACTTACTTTGCGGCATTTGCCGTGGCGAGGGATCCAGAAATCCGCCTGCTTGAAGAGCATCTGTGCTGGATCCCTGCTCCGCTTCCACGGCAACTTCCCCGGCTGCTGCCGCCCTCCAGAAAGGGGAGCGCAGGGAGGGAGCGGGGCCGGCGCGCAGAGCCCGGCGCTGCGCAGGGGGAGGCAGCGGCAGCAGCGGAGCGAAGCACCAGCCGCCTGATTAATTCAGCCTGTTTCCAGTCATGCTGCAGCTCGGAGGCGGTGGGGTGGGGGGGAGGGATGAAAAGCGGGGGGAAAGAGGGAAAAAGGGATGAAAGTTTGTGCCGGACAGCCCCAGGTGTGTGCAGGAAGGGTGCAGGCAGAAGATGGAGCCTGCTCAGGAGAATCCCTGGCTTCCCTGCGCGCGGAGGTGCGTGTGCAGGCACGGCAAAGGATGACGCTGCCTCTGTGCAGAAGCAGTCGGCAAATGAGACAGGACCAAGCGCTGCAAACCAGACCACTGGAGAAGGGAGAGTTGAGCAGGCCGGGAACAGAGGGCTCGACAGGGACAAGGAGAGCCGGGACTCCTACCCCATTCCTGCATAAATCAAGGGGAGGTATCCAGATGACTCCACAGCTTCGGTTTCAAGCTCAGTTAAAAATCTTTTTTGAATGATTTGAGATGGCTACAGGTCCAGTGTGAAGCATTCCCTCCCTTTTTCCCTTCTTGATGGAGAACAGAGCAAAAGCCCCTCTCAGCATCAATATTCACACGCCTTGAGCCACCCAGGCTAAAAGAGAAGGCGCAGGCCGATTATTCACATCCAAGGCCATATCCAGGGCTCTCTGACCCCCGGGCACTGGCACAGACAGGAGGAAGGATTAGCAGACACTGGGATCACCTCGGCAGAGCTGGAATAGGATGACATGAAGGGGAATAAACAGGTATTTGGAGGGGAGCCATCATTAAAACGATTATTTTCACACCATATAGAAAGGGATAAGGAAGTGACCCAGGCGAGAAGCGTGTCACTGGCTCGCCAAGGACCCAGCCCGGGTAAAAGGGGACAGATAGACGCTGCGAAGACTCTGAGCGCCAGCGTTTAATGCAGCTTGGAAGACTATACCTCTGCACCCACCCAGTGTCCCAGGGCGAGTTTTTCATTTCCTTTCCTTCCCTGAGATTCAGATGATTCCCTAAGTTAGCACAGCCCATTTGCAGCTTTTAAAGCCAGAAATGCAGACCTGAGAGTTCCCGATATTTGCTATAAATGCATGGTAGGACAGATACAAGACAGCCCCTGAAAGAACTAGTTCTCCTTGCTGTGCTGGCACAGAGTTACACACCCGTATGCAATTCTGCAGATCTCTTAAAGCAAATGTCAAAGGGAAACAGTGTATTCAGTGTCACTTTAGGAGAGAGCTAGCAGAAAGCAAGGAGAGGAAGAGGGAAGAAGATATCCTCCCTCTTCCTGAAGGGCATCTGGTTTCCCCAACAACAATTTCCAACTGCAGAGAGGAATAAGGTGTCCTAAGGAACCAATTTTTCCTTCTCTCGTCTTTTCCTGCTAGGAAACTAAGCTTACCTGCGCACTTCAACACAAAGGAAAAAAGTAAGAAAAAATAAGGCCAGCCCCAGGGAGATGGTGCCAGGAAGGACAAACCTCCACACTACATCAACCCCTTCTCATCTCAGCACTCACTCAACTATTTCCTACAGCTCGGTATGTGTCCTCTGGAAACTCAAATGCCTGTGAGCAGAACTGGCTGGTCACAGGGCAAGTTTATGGACAACTCTTGYTCTTTACATGGTAAAGAGGTCCTGGGACAACTTTCTGCTGGCTCTGGACCTCCAGCTTTGCAAATGGACCGAGTCTCCTCTCTTCTGTTTCCACTACCATCTAGAGACCTTGCTCTGCAACRTTCTGGGTAGGGCAATAATCTGTGCCGTGCAACTGCCTTCTGGTATCAGCTGGTATCATAAATTGCATCTGGCTGCGCTTTTGTGCATTTGAAAGAGCAGAGCTGTAATCTTAAGACAGGAAGATAAAACTGTGCATTGGAGGAAAAGGCAGAGCACAAAGGTAAAGGGAAGGGGCTGAGACCTGTACAAAAACTGCAGCTTTGGGGAGAGAAGTCTGTGCAAGAAGGATTGGTGTGCGAAAAGCCACTGGAAAAAGAGATGAGGTTTTAGAGAAGCGGCACAGCAGGGAATAAAAACCACACACAGTTAGAGGCAAGATGAAGAGAGGCAGAGGAATTAGCTAGTTTTCAGGCCAGAGGCAGGATCGCAGCTCTTGTCGGACATGCTGCAACTAGAGAGCTGAGGATCAACAGAGCAAAGCAGCAGCACATTTAATTTAAGAGGGTTTCAGCACTGCTTCTAAGACACTCTCTGCTTTTCTCTGCAGTGGCAGTTTCTGGTAGAAAATGGCAGGAAGTCCACATCACACCTGAGAAGCTCTGATCCTCACTCATCTCTGACAAGGGAGCTGCATTAGCTGACTGGAGCCAGAGGACAAACCTCGTATCCTGTCGAGCGACTGATGTCTGTGCTGATGTGGTTGAGCTCAGAGCACATCTCGTGATCCAGAAGCTCTTGTTCTTCATCACACACAGATTCTGGGCTAGAGAGATTGCTGTCGACTAGATTTCAGGTTGCTATTTCCATTTGGGGTTCATTCGATTTTTAGCATTTTAAAATAAACCTCACACATCAGCTTTATCGCTRGGGTTACGCAGCAGATTAATTTCTTCCCTTATCAACATATAGGCATCCAAGTTCTTCACTTTGGGAAGGAAAATGAATTCTGCTTTAAAAGTGAGGAAACGTAGTTCTGCAGTGTTGAAAAAAAAGCAGGAGCCAGCTCATTAATCAATGTCAAATAGCCTACTGCTAACAAGTACAAAATCACAATCTTTTCTCAGAATCCAAGCAAAGTAGGTGGTAAAACAAAGCAGAGCACATCAGAAGGGATTTTTTAATTGCTACTGAAAAGAGCGCAGTCATTTTTTTCCTTTCATTTTAATGAAATTTTGGTAAGCCAGGGAAGGAGCCCAGGACTTCTGAATATCGCAGGCCCCTGTAACCTTCTGCAGCAGAGCCTGGCCTGGAGCTCTCAGACGCTGCTCAGAAAGCAGCTCTGCACAGAATGGTAAGTGCTCCATCTTCTAAAATGAACAACACCAGACTAGCCCAAAATGCCTAAAACGAGTGCCTAAAACAACACAGCTCAAACGTGTCCTCAGAGCAGGGCAGTGGTGGGAGGCTTAGACATGAGTGAAGTCTGAGCCCTTTTCATCTCACTCCCTACAGAACAGCAGACCCAGCAAGAAAGAAGTTTAACAGGCAAGTGCATCAGGTGATGTGTCACTTTTTTGAGTGATAAACATGTTTAATATTCAGTTAAGTAATCAGCTAGTAATCCTATGTGATCAACACGAGTCTGGATTTTAGCTTTTGGGAAGTGGAAGCACATATAAGGTTAATAGTCCCCTGCAAATGAGAGCAGATGAGTCCTTCTAGCTCCTACTGCAGCTACTCATAAAGATCTTGCTGTTCACTTCTTTGAAGCTGAAAGCACTGCAGGGTAGCAAGAGACAGGTTGCTCTTCCAAACAATATACACATTTATCTGGCACTTTTCTAGAATGTTTTTCCCTGGAAAGGCATACAATTGCCCAAGAAATACATGCTGAGCATAAAAAAAAAAAAAAAAAAGACCTCAGACGATTTTATTTCCACATTTTATTTTTAATAATCTCATGAATTCAGTCTCTCAATCAAAGACAAGCTCAGTGTCCAGGGAGCGCCCCCACGTCGACAGCAACTCCCTGTGCAGGCTGCTAATTGAAAGGTAAGAATTTAGCCACGAGGAACACAACTCATTTAAGCAGCTCTTAGGCACTATTTTGGGAGCCTGACAAGCCAAGCCATATATAAATTTATCACATAGAAATGAATTTCCCAAACTCACTGTCTAGGTTAACTGACATCTCCTAAAACAAAACTAAGCAATCATTAAAATCCACAGCTAACCAGGTGCATATAAAGAAATCACAACATCACTTCCTGGTTCTCCCCTGCTAATCATTAGGTCTGCTAAGCGTTCTGAAGGTCTCAGCTCTCATCATATTCACTTTAATCAATGGGATAGAAAACAAGAGGTGACCAGCACAGAACTAATCATTCTGCCACCTCTGGGACACTCAGGGCTAGATCCCATCTACTGATACAAGCAAATGCATCCCTAGGAGTGCAAAGATTACAGAGCTCCTAACTTTGGTATAAACTATGGATTATATTGTTACTGATAGTGGCAAATTGTCAGTCTTGATTTAAAATAGCAAAGAAAAGGATTCAAAACTGAAGTTGGGAGTAACTTTTATCATGAGACCTACCTGACACTTCTCCTTCGGGTCCATGGCACCGTGGTTCTGTACGCATGTCCAGCAAAAGGGGATTGCTCCTCAGGGGAGAACGTCACCCACGTAGAGATGGTCTTGGCCACACTTATCACATCACCATCTGTGGAAACAGAACAGGAAGCTGTAAGTTTCCCCACATCTCTCCTTTTAGGACCAACAAAAGCTGTAAAATTAACAAAATTCACACGACACGATTGGCCTTTAAAAGAAGGAGAAGCGGGGAACAGAAAGTGGCTCTTATGGTGCAGCAACTAATCCTGTTAGTTCAGCGTTGCCCGGACTGTCACGGGCAGATGAATGAAGCTCGCTGCAGCTTGGAGCGAGCGCGTTATCRCAGGCCTGACACACTTTTGGGCAGGTCTCCAGAAACAAGCTGACGAGGCCCTGGCTTGCACCAGGCGTTGGCACGAGCTGTCACCCCGCAGCTATTTGTCTCACTAGTCTTTATCTGCCAGGAGCTTTGTCCAGCTAATCTCTAGTGGAGCCTGCAGTAAGGATTCCTCCATTTGCTGCAAATCACATCAAATCTTCGCCAAAGCTCTGCCCTGAGCTCAGCCTGAGGCTGACCACCATGAAGGAGGCCAGAAGGCATCAAGACCAACTTCAGGTTTCCAGGGACTAGGACATTTTAGTTTAGTGAAAATGTCATTTTAACATAACTGAGATAGGAAGCAATTCTGGGCTCACATCCTTGTTCTTCCCTCTCAACTTCCCCCTGATCTGATACGGCATAAAGCGGCTCTCCTTCCATATATACAAATCATCTTTACTGGTCAAAACAAAATATTTGGGTGCCTTATGAATCATCTCTTAGATAAAACATTCTGAGATATTATGAGAGGTTTTAGAAAGGGTCTTCTGGATGGTTTGTGTCTCTTGCTTCTCTTTTTTAATAATCACCCAGAAGCTCGGGGCTTGGCCACTCACTTCTTGTAGATCCCAAGCAGCAAGGAAGTAGACAGTTCTGCAAAGCAATCCGAGCAAAGGACACGTCCCCCAGGCACGCGAGGAGCGGCCTCTGCATGCCAGGCTCCACCACCCTGCTCTGCACCACACTCTTCTTCAAAGGAGGATTTGGATGGTGGCAGCCCTGCGATCACAACATGCCTCCTCGTTTCGAGGAACACGAAAGCAGCCAGGGCTTCCTGAGAAAAGCACTGCTGCTCTTACCTGCAAATGTTTCCTCTGAGGGAGGAAGGCCCCGCACCTGCAGTCTGGGGAGCAGCAAATACCCAGTATCCAGACTGCAGAGACCTGCCTGCAATAGAGCAAGCACCGCTTGCCATTTTCTGGCACTTATTTTTCAGTACAATAAGCCACAACTCTGGGCTCTGCCCTGGTTTTCAGCTCTGTGAGTCSTGTCGAGGGGCACAGACCAAGGGAGGGAAGTTAAGGCAGCTGCTGCATGTCCCTGCCAGGCCAAGTGAGGATCGGACAAAGTAACCGGAGCTAAGTGATGAAGAGGACTGGGGGTGCGGAGGATGAAGATGCACCTCGGTGGGTGCCTGCAGCTTGGGGCCTTTACCCCGAGGATCACCCATACACAGGGAAAGGAGGAGGAGATGGGTTTTCAAGGACAAAATGACAAAAGAAGGCTAGGAAGAAACCTCAGTAATTCTTCTTGTAACTTACTTGCAGCTCTAGCAAAGGATTTATGCAGCTTTCCCTTGCTTACATTAAAAAAAAATAAATAAATATCTGAATTTCTCTCTGGACCAGGACTTCAAAGGCAAAACTATCAGTGYGGGGACCACGTGGGAAGCCCAAGCCACAAAGGCAGAAAACCCATCCCGGGGAGGCTGCGCGAACGGCGGCGGGGCCGCGGAGGGCACGCGCGGTGACACGTGGCCCGGCCCCCCTGCAGCGCACAGGGACGGTCTGGTTCAGGCACCACGCTGAAATGTGACCCCGAGTGTAAAACACACCGTTCCTCGGAGCGCAGGGCATGTCGTTTGYGCGCCCAGGAACGCCACCCTGATCGCCTCCGTGATTTGAAGGGGTAGCCCCAGGAAGAGCGTCGGTCAGGCAAAAGATTGGCTGGAAAGGGGGAAAATTCCCCACAAAGAGAAACTGAAAAGCTCTTATAATGAACGGGGCAATAACAGCTTGCAAAAGAAATGAGTGGTGCCTCCCCAGCACTCGTGTTGCTTGGGGCTTCTCCAAACTCTGCAGCCCACGGACAGCTCAGCCCCTCTCACATTCCCAATTTAAGGTGCGCAACAGTCAGACTACAGACATCTCAAACTAATTTAAGCAGCCAAGTCTCTCCCAGGCCAGTCTGCACATACAAAACAAGCAGAATGCTTCATATTTTCAGAGCAGAACTGCGCTTTAGAAAGGATTTGTATTAAGAAACAAAAATTTGAAACAAATCTAGATACATTAGGATAGCCTATTATTRGGACAATCGTAGCCAAAAGGAAAGAATAGCTACAATGAGAAGCAACCTTCCCTAAATGTCTGCACCAGGTTTGGTACTGGAGCCATCTAAAATGTAATATGCCCAGGTATTTTTTATTATTTTTCACAGAATCTATGATTCTATGATTTTTCCCCTCCAAATACAGACTTTATCAGATAAAATGTCTGCAAGAATTATGCCACGCCAATTAAAATCACCAGGAGCACTAGAGATCTGATRATAATACGGATAATAAATAAATTCTATGCATTCTGATCTTCCATCTAAGGATTTAAAAGCACCACARCTTTCTATATCGCACATCAGCATGAGGTATCCATGCTGGAACATAGTAATAAACCATACAGTATGGTATGAAATGAACAAAATGTATAACTTGCCTAGCAAAAGAGAAWGATTAGCTAACTAAACAGCTTATAGATACTTGGAAAGATGACTTGTGTTTAAGAAGCACTACAAGCTGCAAGTCTTTGGGGAGAAAAACTAAATCAACATAATGRTAAGAGTTTTCTACGTAGGATCTACCATTGAGATTTTTGTTTTATTTACTGAAAATTCCCAGGACAGATGAATCTATAAAAAATGCTGGGGAATCTGAACATCTCCTGCTGCCAGAAGTGAATTCCTCAAAAAACAGAAGTCAGATCTGCATCACTCAAAATAGAAACACAAGGGAACACAAGATAATAACCAAAAAAGCAGCTGCCTTGCAAAGCACAGCTTGGATTGGAGCTGATTGCTTCGATATCAGCAGCACTAGGGAGCCCTCCTGCTCGGGAACGGCTGGGGCCGCCTGAGAGCTCGCAGCCGGGCGCGTTTGCTGCTGGGTGGGTGTCCCAAGGGGCACGCGGTGACACTGCCCATCGATTTGGGAGCACGGATGAATCACAACAGAGCACCGGCAGCCTCTTCCTGGCTACACTACCTGCCTGCAAAGACACCAGCTTGCCAGGACTCGGGGAAGCTCCACTTTTTCCTTGTTATAGGGATAGAGGTATCCGCTTCTCTGTGAAGTAAACATATTAGTATCTGTAAAGGCAGCRAGCTCAGCTGAATTAGTGCTGTGTATGTGCTAGGTATTATCAGCTCAGCAGAGGACGGACGTCCCAGCTGCTCGTGACTGTGAAGAATCCGTAGGGTGCTTCAGGGAGACGTCACTTCCCAGGGAGCTCAACCGCAAACTGGGAACAGGATTAAACTCTGATGAATTAAAATTTGGCTTCCARTTGACAATTATGCCTTTCTGGGGTAAAACTGGGTTTTATTTAAATCTTATTTGCACAAAGCTTTCCATGAAAATGAACCTCTGGCTTTTTCAGGAAAGGACTCGCACATCAGACTCTCGTCCCAAAGGATAGCGGTGACAGAAAACTGGTGGTGGACGACAGGGAGGGAAGGAGCAAGAAACAGCCTTGGTGCATCAATCTCTGTCTTAGGTGTCTCATTCAGAACATAGGTTCACTTGAAAGATTACGATTGGTAAAAAAAGGATGTAAACACAATTAAGAGAACACAGTTATTTGTTTTAATTTGTTCTGGTGAATTAAGAAATAATTTGACAGATATGATCAAAACAAGGAGCAACCTTGTTTACTCTTACTGCCTCCACAGAGACCAATATGTTTCAAATTATGCTATAATAAATCTGGAAGTTATCTGCTGTGCTCAATTTTCTTTCTTAGGGGAAAAAAAAAAAGCTTGTGGATTAAGGATAGCTCTATCTTCCCTGCTTCAGGTCTTGATTCCTTCTCACAACCTCTGGGCCTGCCACAGCCATGTGTAATCAGCCCAGTTTGAAGTGARAAATGCAACAAAGGGACCATTTCTGAATGTTGTCCAGGTCCCTGGTTGCCAGCAGTAGTGAGACATCAATAAGAACCAAGGTTCTCATGAGAGAAGCAAGTTAAATGGTTAAATGAGAACCAAGACAGTTTACAGCACACGTATGGAAGAATTCACTGTGGAGGTGACGTATCATTCATCGTTACAACTTGGGAATTGTGGTAACCAGGACTGTAACTATTGCTGGACTGTAACTGTAAGTACTGACATGCCAGAAAAACCACAAAAAGGCAAGTGACCCCAACCCACTGCCCAGGAGATTTAAAGACCATATTGCACTTATAGCATCTTCTAATGAATCAGTTTTTGCAGACCTACATRGGCCCACAAATCAAATACAGCTTTTCCTCCTAATTCCAGACTATAAATAATGCACACTATGGCTCGCAGCAGGTGTAAGCACAAACACCTGGAGATGTTTAAGAATTGCCCCGCTGATGGGATGGTGCCCAGGGAGTTCTCCAGCAGACACACAGCACCTGGGGGCCATTAGCAAGATCAAGGGCATCCACATCAAAAACAGCACAGGCCTCCCACAGAAAAGGCTCTGAGCAGGTCAGTAGATTGGGCATTTTATCATGCTCATAAAAGATTCCCTAAGTCTTGTGATGAACAACCTCTGTGCCCTGGTTACTGCACAAAGGGCCTCTGGATGATCACAGGTGAGTGAAGGTGACTTCTCCTCTGGCCAGCCCTATAGATGGACTTGTCTTTTGGCCAATCTCAGTGGCCCCAGCCCTGCTCCTGGCCAAGTCCACCCACTCACAGGTGTATAAAAGCACTTTAAACCACCCTTTCCTCTTGGGTTGTCCTTTTGCTTGGAGCAACTTGGTCTCTAGAGCACTTACTGTGRCTTCCTAAGGCCAGAGGTTGGGTAAGTGTGTCCTCAAAGACTGTGGCACTTACCCAGTTTGAGCTCCTGAGTGACAAAGAGAAGAAAAAGGCTTTTCTTTCTTTGTTCCCTTTGCAGGAGTAATAGTTGTTTTATTGCYTATGGGAAAAGTACTAATACTTTAATCTTCTTATCAGTTAAAAAGGTTTTTTTTTTTTAAAGCCACAATTAAGAAGAATGTTAATGTGAACTTATGTGCTCAGAGAAGCACTTGTAGAAGAGAAATGTAAGTTATTACTGCAGAGAACACAAGGTATGTTGTATATAAACCAGCCCCTAACTCTTCATATGCCAGTATTAAGCGGTGGACGCTATTGTGTTTTGGGCTTTTTGTTTGTTTCTCTGGAAAGCCAAACTCTTATGCTTGCCAGGTTGGTGAAACTTTCCTACAGTGCTTGAGCAGGCCCTTTAGTTTAACACAGCACAGTGGGTATTAAGGTGTAACACTTTGCTGATATAGAAATTTGTATTTTGGAGAAGCCTAAAGTATTTCATAGCTGTTGCACACCACAACTGTATTTCACTCATGTTCAGCTATGAATTTATGCTACAATTGCTATAGTTTAAAGCTTTCTGGATAAACAYGCTGCGATTTCTTTCCCTCCAAAGTGGAGTTACTGCCTATGGGCAGCTGCCTTGGTGATGGYTGGGTGCATTAGGTATCTGCAATTATTGGGGTAAATTTGAGCACTGAAAAGCCCATTTTGGAAGGCACTGTTGTGGCGTGTGTCGCTGTCCTGCGTGGGCTGTGGCTGAGGYGGGCGAGCAGAGCGTGTGGCCCTGYGTGCGGCTCTCCGGCCGCTTCTCCGATGTTGTCACCGAGTGAACTCTCTAGCGCTGCGTGTGATGGGACTTTTGCTGGGGTTGGGAGGCCTTTCCTCRTGGTTAAATGGCTGGTGTTACCCTGCTTGGGGAAGGCACCTCGACAGCGGACAACCACGACCAGCGTCACCCCGGAATGCCAGAAATCCCAGCTCCGGGAGGTGAAGCCGGAGCGGGAGCGAAGCCGCACGACCCGGGCGCTGCGCTGGCGGGTGGCCCTGGGCTGCCCTCCGAGCCGGGCGAGCGCCTCTGGGCTCCTTTATTGGCAACGGGGGAGTTTTGTCCTCGGGAGCCGCGTGTCCCGCGGGGAGCGGGTCGCCGCAGCSCGGCTCCGGTTAACGCTGTCTCGGCGGGTCCCGGGCAGCACGTGCCGGGGCGGCCCCGGCGCCGCTTCCCTCCTCCCGCCGGCGGGAGGCTGCGCGCCGGGGCGGCCGGAGGGGGACGGCGCCGCCTCGGGGAAGCCGCGGGGGACGCGCCGGGCCCCCTCCCGCCGCCCGGCCCCTACTCACCCGCCGCCTCGCGCCGTCTCGGCGGGGCAGCCGCTCGCCCGCCGGGCCTCCCCCCGCGCCGCCGGGGCCGCCATCTGGGTCACTGGCACCCTCCCCACCCCCTCCCCGGCATACACACACCCGCGTCACGGAGCCGGGCAGCCGGGGCGGCGCTTCGCGCTCCCCTCAACAAGGCGGCGTGTGGTTGGTGGGGCTCCGCGCGGCCKCCCGCATACGGCGCGGTGATTGGTCGGGCCGCCGCGGCGCGCGAAGCCGAGCAGCCGCCCCGGCGGCGGGACGGCGCTGGCTGTGGGGAGGGCCCGAGCGGGCGGCCCGCCCTGAGGGAGCCCGGAGCGACGCGGCCACCGCGGGCGGCTCCGTCCCCGCCTCTGCCCGGAGCAGCGCCCGGGTGGGTTGGGGCCTCCCCGCGGTCGGTACGGAGCGCGGCCCGTGCCCCAGGGCCGCGGCAGCGGCGGATAATGGAGGGCAGGGTCCCCTCTGCCAGGGATGTTACAATTTCCCCTTTTCGGAGCTTTTTCCGAGCTGCTCTTGCAGGGAGGCCTCAAAGGAGCCGAATGAGGCCAAGGCTGGCCCAAGGAGCGAGGCCRCAGCGGGAGCCACCACAGGCACAATCTGGAGAGGCAGCCGCGGAGCCCCGCAGGAAAGCGGAGGCGTGAGGCGGCGGCGGCGCCTGTGCCTCTGTCTGTGGGGATTYGTGTCCGAATCGCGGCAGAGGGGCTGAACTGGGGACGTGGCCCGTGGGCTTCRCTCCCCTGCTGTCCCCGCGCTTCCCCTGGCGGCTCTGTCACGCTGGGCTGTGGTGCCGCGGCCCTGTATGAAAGCGATGCTCGTGGMTGTGTTAAAATAGCAGCGACAGCCTGACACGCTTATCTTTGGTTTTTATAGCAAGAAATGGCAGCACGCAGGGAATTTAAGCCTTGCTTGGTTTTCCTGGCAGGTGAAGTTTGGGAATGTGCTCTCCAGTGCTCCAGGACAGCCTGCTTGTGGTGTCTGAACCCAACACAGCTCGAAGCCTTTTTCAGCCCCCCTGAATATGATGAAAATATTCATATTAGAGTGAAGACCCCACAATCTCCGCTTTTTCTTAGCTTGTAGTTTTCTAGAACAAATCGCTAGAATTCAATGTGGGGAGAACAGAACTCAGTACTTGTGATGCCTTAGAAGCAAAACTGGCAGATGGGGTGAATTTTCTGATCTAACTTAGAGTGCAAGTAAAAGTATAAATGAGCTACTGACATTKTAATAGTATAAAGTCATGAACTGTACCTAGTTCTGCATGGGGGTCCTTTGTTCCTTTTTAGGTCTCCCACCCCAAATAAACTCAGCTTAGTTTTTAGGCAGTTTTTAATAAAAGGTCAGAGCAATGGTGAGTCTCGAGCAGAGATATGGGTTGTTTTGCCTCTGATGGTGATTCCCTGTGAGCCTCAGACCAGACCCTGATAATATCTGTTTTGTTTGCAGGCATGTAGTGTATAGAGTTTCTGTCAATGAGACTTGCAGTTCAAGGAGCTAATTGGTTGGGCTCTTAATTGCCTTGTTTATTTATTTTCTACTTGCTAAACATGATCTAATTATTTACCTCAGTGGTTTAGTTGTAGAGCATGTAGAGATTAAGTGAAAAACTTTATCAAATACAATATTACCGAGGTGTTGGGAACAGCAGAAACTCGCTTGACTTAGACCTATTGCTATAGATTCAGGAATAAGACAGACATCCATAGAGTGCTTCCATTAATTAGTACTAGCTAACAAAGGAAAAACTCAATAGAAAAAAAATAAAGTTTTAAGAGTTTAAAACCATAATTGCCCTCATTTAGCATTTTTGAAGATTTCCAGCATAAAGACTTGTTGTGAAAGGAAATATTCTGGTTTGTGACTTGTGTTAAGCTATCATCCCCCACCACCACTTTTTTTAATATTAATGTTGTAAATAAGAAGTCTAAAGATATGCAAGATCTTGTTAGTCCTGGTTGTTTCTCTGATATAACAGGATGGAAAGCTCGGATTAGTCAATTTTGCCTGCAACTTGATTGCTTTCCACACTTATTCCACAATAGCCATTAAAACTCTTGTCCTGCTTGGGATTCTTTCACTGTGCAGAGGCATTCTCTGTAATTTTGATAGGAAGTGAGCATAGAGAAATGAAGCAGTTGCTGCAAACCCACTGTATAGCCTGAGGATACTCAATTTCATTCTTCTCATGTCTTCAGCGCAGGGATCTACTGTCCCCTCTTGGGATGACAACATATGGGCAGAGCCGGGGCTCCGTTTGCAGTAAGCTTCCGCCTCGGAGCGGCTGCCGTCCCCGACAGATCCGAGGAACTATTTGACCTCCCTGCATGTGCCTTTCAGTCAGTCCCCATCAGCGCTGCTGCGGGAGGTGCCGACATGAGAATTTGAGTACGAGCGCTCGGAAGCAGGTACTGCGTGCGGAAAAATCTTTGCTTTTTTAGGTTGACCTCTCTGGCAAGGCATTGAAGTTGCCTTTTAGTCAATATGTAGTGAAGAAAGCATTTCTGAACAGGAAGGTTGAATTTARAAAGAGAAAATGAATGAAATCAGTGAGAAAAATCTATTGTTTGGGGAAGACAATTGCTGTATATTTGTCTCTTTCTCACMCTGTGTATTTGATGCCAGATGCTGGGAAATTACTATTTCTACATATATGTGCAGTGATAAAAGAAATTAAAGGGAGAAAACTAGTTCAAGAGAGATTTTGCTTTAATATTAAAAGCAGCTGCTTCCAAGGCTGAAGGAAAGATATTTTAGCTGAATAATATTGCTTATTAGCTCCGCATATTAATATGCAAATTATTCTATGGCTTCTTATAAAAATAATAAATATTCCTGAAAAGTAAGAGCTTCTGCTTTTTAGTAATAAACAGYATCTGCTTTGTTTTTCTCCCAGCAGAAAGGTAATTGAACTGACAATTCCAAGCTGTCTTGAAAATGATAAATGACTGAATTGGGAGTAGGAGGAAAGCAGAAGCCCTTTTGTACTAGTGAAAGGGAGATAATACATTACAGTTGGACCTGGCTTCTTTTTACAGATTTCTTTCTGAATTTGAGCAGCTCTGGATGACCCCAGCCAACTCGTTTTACCCTTTAATTTATTGACGTCGGCAATGTCTATTACAATTTGGAGATAAAACAGCATTTCCTAGCCCTTTTCAGTGCTTATCATTTTTGTGATCATAGAAATGTGTGGAACAGAGGAGAATTTGCTTTATTACTTTCTTCTCGGTACTCACTGCTTCACTGTAAGACTCAGGGATGTTTTTATTGTCTTTTTTGGTTGGCTTTGAGGCTAAGCTGACTTTTATGTCCTGATCTATCAAAGTTGGAACAGTTCCTGTTTGTCTCGCATGGTGATTAAGCTGCTTCCCAAGTGCTCTTCAGATCTATAATGAGYGAATTTGTGAAGCTGTTTTGGCAGATCAGCTGTTCTGTCTAGGTCATGAGCACCAACACTTATTTACTGCTCTCGGGTGGATTCACAGCAACAGACAGTTGTGATAATGTCTCAATGTGTAAGTGAGAGCCACAGCAGAAGCCTGAGGAGATTCCTGAGCATGGAGAGCTGTGTGGTTATAGGAAGGCTCAAAGCTCAAGAAGTTCTGTTCCTAATGGTGAGGAATAGTGTGGCATTAGCTTATGGTATTGTTTGGGGCAAGCTTTTTATACCTGCTTCACACTTTCAGAATATGGTTGATATTTATTTATTTTGTATATGCATGTATCATATTTCTAATACTGTTGCCTTTATTGCCAAAGGTCTCATTGAAATGAGACTAAATCAATGCACAGCAAAGTTAAGTTCATTCCCTGTTCTCTAAAGAATGGGTACAGAAAATGCATTGGCACAAGATTTTTGTTTTGCTTTGCTGTCTGATTTTCTAGTACTTTCCCATGGTGTTTCAGATGCAAATATGTGGGGAAAATGGTCTATCCAGACCAGAAAACATAGTTCTTAAGGTTTTAGAAAATTCTAACTAATATTTTTTTGACCATTAGAGGATCAAGCTGCTTTGAATGTTTTAATACTCAAATTAGTAATTGGTACAGTTGTCCTGCTAGCAAAGTAATRTCTACAAGCCTGTTGCATGTGGCCTGAATCTCAGGCTAGCACCTATATGCTAGGTATCCTTTAAGTATGCAGCACCTTGCTAGAGCAGCTAACACTTAGTGTTCTTTTGTTACATCTGGCAAGCTTAATAAAGTAGCTTCAGCTCCAAGACRCTCAGTAAATGGAGTAACCTTGGACTCTGTAGGTAATCCCAGGCTTGATTCTCCTTCTAAGGCTAGTGTATGTTGATATGAGAAGAAAAAAAGCCAAAGCTGATCATGCAGCAAATCTCAGCAGCCCCATTCCCAGCGTTTCCTCTTTGTCTCCTTCCTGGTTTTTCCCTGTTTGCTGCATCTACTTTTTCTGCTCCTCTCCAGGCAGAGATATATGGCAAGTTGGTTCCCTTGCAGCTGCCAGAATTGTCTTATGGTATTTAACTTCCAGTTTGCAAGATGATTGATCAGGACTATACTAAGAAGTTCTCTACATCCATTTTACATTTCTCCTTAGCAGATTGCTTGGATTGTTTTCCATAGGAGGCTTTTATTTTTTGGCCCATACATCAAGCTTGTGCAAAAATATATGTATATTATGCATATGAAATGCAATAATATAATCAAATGTAAAAGTTTAGTYGTCTTCAGAAGTGATGAACAAATAGGATTTTAAAAAAAGTCTTTGGATTTACTAAATGCCATTAGAAAAAATTTATATTGGCAATACTTTTAGTTATAATTATTGTGCCAGACACTTTCAGAAAATCAATGCAACATGTGAAGTTCCTTGAAGTGGCAATTGTAAGCTCATTACTTTATAGCTCGTGATGGTGGATTCTCCCCTCTGATGAGAATGAGTCTAGGAATAAAGGTGAAGATGGCAGAAAGGATGAAGTGAGACATCTTGGAGGGCTCCAGCAGGGAAAATCTCTGCTGCCCATCGTCCAGCAGAAACACAAGCCACAATGTGTGGAGTGTAGGTGCAGGCTGCATCTTTACCAAGAAATTGGTTACGTTTCAGAAGCTTGGCAAGACACTGGGGGGGGGTGTGTGTGAGAGAGAGAGAGAGAGAGAGAAGCAGGGACCTGCTCAAGGCTGGATGTTCTCTCTGCAGGAGCTGGAATGTGATGCAGGATTCCTGTGACCAGCAACTGGTTATGTTATTCTTGCAACTTCTAACTTGCATCTGGGAAGGAATTCCTCCACAAATAAATGCAACCCTGAAATGAAGCTTATGAATGTTTATTAAAATTAGAAATAGGGAAATTACAGCATTAAATAATAAAACATGAGAAACATAGAGTACAAGGCTATCTTTATTTGTGAACAATCTGCTCTAATTACCTTTTCTGGAGAACAAAATAAATTTATTGTAGCCATTTAGGCCAAGGTTTTCTTTGTTGCAACCTGTGTTCCACCTGAAAGATGGCAGTGTTCCGAACTCCTGGGTTTTGCACTATCACCAGAAAGATTCTGCGGTTGTTAACTTTGCTTACAGCACAGAACATGGAGCTGATGCTTTGCCTTTTTCTTTCCTGTGCCTGCTTGTAGGCTTTTAACTTGTTGGGCAAAAGGGAAAAAGGATATGAATCAAAACTAGAGCAAATATTTTTCTGACTGAACCTTCTCTAAGTTCTTTAGCTCTCCTAGTATTTCCCAGTTCCTCTTTTGTTAGAAGCAGAGGCCACTGGGCCCAGTTTAAGCTTTGACACTTCTTTTAACTACTTTAAGTTGCATATGTTGATACTGTCAGCAAGTGAGAATGAGGCCACTATGTTTCTGAATGAGAAGAAAGTCTAGGATATTCTGGATAGTATTTGACTTTTTATGTCAACTCTCCAAGGAAGTAATTTTAGTGCACGTGGCAGTGCTAAAGGTGATGAGAATTAGGAACACATACAGTATATTTTTATAACTGTGGAGTTGTCAGAAGCAGAATTTTTAGGAAAAGCCATGCAGTAAATTCATGCATTAGGTGCAGCAACACTAGTAGAAATTGACATCTGGATGACACAGTAGGCGTTCTAACTCCTAATGCAGATCTTTTTCATACGTATATCCCTAATTAAATTCCACTGCAAAATGACAGGTACCAATACAGTGTAGGATAAAGACAGTGCATGAAGATGCAGGTAAGACTGTTATTGTGGTCTGTCTTTACCCTTGTGTCAACATAGCTGCTATTACTAACATTACACTTATTGTCATAGTAACTATTGGTTTTGGCTAGTAACACTGTATCAATGAGTGTTCACAGCAGCAATTTGAAACCTCAAATGGCTACTTACACAAAAATAGTTTCTGACAAATATTCCTCCCAGCTATTCATAGCAAGGAACCGCACATTTATTTTTCCAGACTGCTCCGAGTCATTTAAAGGATCCAAAAGAAATGTCAGACACCATTTTTTCTTATTTGTTCTACCTCTTGTAATCCTCAAAACTAATCTTAGATTATAATTTATCACCCCAATCTGCCATAGAAAATTCAAGCTATTCCTAGACTACAGCAAGCAGCTGAAATTGATCCTCTAGTAAAGCAGGCTCTGCCTTTTTTTACCCTTGCCAGACCTATATATTTGCATAAGTAATGTATAAAATTTTAAGGCATTAACTTGTTYGCAAGCTGTGGGTGTGTTCTGTGTTAATTGGTCTGAAAACAAGTACATCTCGGCAACCCCTTTAGTGGGAGTGATTTTTTTAGAAACCCTTGGATCTCTACTATTCCTGCAATTTGTTGCTTGTTTGGCCTTCCAGGGGTGCCCTTTTCAAGCGAGGCAGCTGCAGCTTCTTGACGTAGCTATCATTCAACTCACAGCTGTTGGTCATAGCTCGCTTTTCAAGTCCAGCTAAAACTACCTGCTATAACTTTTCTGAGAGGACTCTATTTATTTTATAGATGCTCTTCGTAAGCTTCTAAATCCTCGCTTTGAGGTCATGCAGAAACCAGAGATTCTGCAAGTCTGTCTGAGCAGCAGGGACTGGGACCATGAGGGAGCTTGGAATCTCRCGCTGATTTTGTGCCCTCCTGGATGGATCATTTCTGAAGCCTTTGCAAAACCCTCAGCTCCTTTAGCTCTTTCTTTCCCCAAGTTGTCCCAGTTCTTCACCCTGTCCAGTTCACACCTTTCTGTACTGATGTTCAAATCAGAAAAGAAATTAAAACCCCTGAAGTAAATGCTATTAGGAGAAAAAGATCTTGCTAAGAGTTTAAAGMACAGATTTCACCCCAAAATATCTTTTCAGGGATCTATATTAGATTGCTGGAGCAGTGGGGTAGACAGGTTTCCAGTCTGGATCTCTGTAGGGGACAATTTGTGAGCAGAACCGAGGCAGCTGGGGCTATTTTAGTAATTTTTTTTTTCTAATCTTGGTCTGAATAAAGCTGATTCTCCCCTTTTATCCCAAAACAGCCAGGGACAGGGGCCAGATTGGTAACTTCTTTTAAATGGAAGGTGGGTTTAAGGGGAGGTGGAGAATGTGTCTTTATCACAAAACATCAATTGAACAGCTTGGGCTCAAATTTTTAATCCAAAATGATCTAAAATTCCCGAGTCCAGATATAAAGTAAATTTATATGGGTATTGCAGGGTGTGCAATAGAGTGTAGAAATGACATTGACACTCCTGACATCTTTTGGGGTGAGGAGGCAGGAAGAAACCTAAAATAAATTAAAGATGATAATGATGATGATGATGATAAAAAAAAAAAGCTTTGAAAATACTAAATCCGCGAAGGGCCCAAAACGGCCTTTTCCCCAGAGCGCCGCCTCCTCCTGCGCACGCGCGGGGCGCTGCCCGCGCCGCCCCTCGCCGCGGGAGGAGCCTGCGCAGGCGCGCGGGGCCGGCGGCCATGATCGCGGCGGGCGCCTGACAGGGCCGCGCTCTCGCGAGACTTGCCCCGGGGACGGCGGCGGCGGCGGCGCGGGCGGCGGGGCCGGAGCGGCAGCCGGGGCGGCCGGGCCGGGCTGGGCCGGGCCGCGTGGAGCCTCGGCCGGGGCGGCGCCCCCAGCGCGGCGCGGTGAGTGCGGGGGGGAGGCCGCTGTCCGCCGTGGTGAGGGGGGCAGCCCCGCCGACCCCTTCCCTTCTCCTCCCCGCGCATCGCGGGCGGCCCTGCCCGCCCGGGCCGGGGCTTCCGGGAACGGGGGGAACCCGGTTCGGCGGCTGCTGCCTTAGCCCGGGGCCCCTCGCTGCCTCCCGGCGTCCGGTGGTTTCCCGGGCTCGGCGGAGCGGCCCCGCGGTCCCCGCTCGTTCCTTCGCGTGGGAGGCGGCGGGGGCCCCGTGGGCGGCTGCCCGCGCGCCCGCCGCCGCGGGGACCCCTTGGATAACGCCGCACTGCGCCCGGGAAAGCGCTTCCCTCGTAGCCTTTTTCTCCCGGACTTCCTGCTGGCGGGACCCGGCTCTTCCTGCGTGCCGCGGAACGCTACCGTTTCAATTAATCGCCTCAATTAATTTGTAGAAGACAAGGATCCAGTCTCGCTGACTCCCGAGGTAGCGGCCTCCGRACAGAGATGTCGGTCACTAACAAAAAAAGCATCTTGTGGAGGAGGCCGTAGCTCAGGCAGCACCTCGCAGGTGAAACGCACAGTTTAGGGAAGTTTATGCCTTGTTTTACAAGGCTCTGAACCCCTTCAGTCATAGACCACAACTTGAAGGGTCCCAGATTGCTAAATACCCAGCAAACGCGGTGCTGGTTGTGATCTGCAAACTCTGCAAGATGAAAATGTGTGAAAAAAAAAAAGGCACTTGAATTATCATCACTTAAAGATATGATTAATTTTGGATAAACATTTTTKGATTTTGTATGGTAGGTTTTGTAAGCGGTGCATTGCCTCGTCTTTAGACGAGGAACGCTTAAGGGAGTTGGAATACATTAAGTACTATTTGTGCCCCCAAATATTCCAGCTTTTATATATTGATAATTTAATTTGTATTTTACCTGGTTAACTTTCCGTGCTATACTTCCTTATTTGGCTAATTTGAATCAATGCTCTGCCCTTACGTTTCTTTTATTCTGTTCTTTTGTCTAGAGTCTGACACTTTACGTTTCTGCATGTCTTCCCAMTGATGTGGCCACACATTTTTCTTTCCACTGTTCCCCTGTGCACAATAACGTTTAGCCCAGTACAAACTGAAGAAGCCTCAGACTTGATTCTTTGCAAAATCTTTCACTGAAGATAAAAAAAAAAAAATCTTCTTTCCTTCACTTTGGCATTTCTAAACTGTTTTTCTGTTCCTTTCGTTACTGCTGTCCAGTAGGAGAGAAAAATGCAGAAAACAATGAGAAAGCTCCTGTGTGCTAGAGGAGGTGCCATTTGTAGGAGCAGTATCAAAAGGCTTGTGCGTGTTTGTTTTTCTTTTTTTCTTTTTCTTTTTTTTAAATTATCAGTTGAAAAGATCATAAGGATTGTTACCTACAGCATCRAGGCTTGCATTTTTAAATACTTATAATACTTAAATACTTGTAATCCACCCTGGGCTGTAGCAACACACTGCTAATAACCTCCAGTTGCTGCATCTGCTGCCTCTGGTGTCCACCTCCCCTCCTCACCCCACGGTTTTAAGAGCAAGAGGAGCGTCACTGTAGGGTGAGAGGCGAAAACACGCTGGCATTTTGAGACCTCTTGGCTCTCTAGTAAGATCATCTATTAATTCTTGCAATGGCTAGTCGTTGTGCTCCTATTTTGGCTCTGCTCCGGTGTTATCTGTGTTCTTGTGGCGCTGGGCTTGGCTATAGTCTTTTCACACTGCCCTGGGTCGTTGCTGCCTTTGCCTGAAGGGAATTCTTGGAGCTGTGTTCTGTGGCAGAGATGCAGCACAAGCCATTTCCTGAGTAAGGTGGGTTTTGTTTTTCCTCCGCCTTGTGCAGTTGTCTTTTTGTTTCAAGAATTGTGGGGCTGATTGAGAAGTTATTTRATAAGATTCGTGAATGCTTTCTGAGTGACTTCAGGGACATCCATGTTCTAACTCTTCCTTTTCTGACATTTACTATGTAAATATCTCCATTTATTTTTTCCGGATCTTTTCTCTAATTTGCTTACAGCTTTGGTGACTTTTGCCTTAAGTCATAAAGGTTAAAGCATTGTTCTATGTAGCAGCTATTTTTTATTGCAGAAACATAATTTCTTTCTATTCTGACAATATCTATGAAAGTGATAGTAAATTTAAGGCAGGTGATGAGAAAAAGTGTGCTGAATCTCCTCTCATCTTGAATTATTCTAGAGATTTTCCCAAGTTATAACAGAGCTAAGCTCGGGGAAACGCTGGGGTGGTTCTTGGAAACAGCACACCAGTGCTTTCCGTTAAAATACCTCATTTTCTTAGATGCTGTTAAGTTACTTAACAGCACTTAACAGCAACTTACTTAAGTAAGTACTTAACAGTAAGTAACACTTGCTGTTAAGTTACTTAACAGCAATATGCACGCCAAAGAAAGGAACATTTAGCAATCTGCAGTAATGTCCATCTTTAAGCTTATATTGAGTCCAGAATTTGCTTTTTAGGTTGCACAGCTAACTTTTACACCATCAGATTTGGGTTTTATGGCTTGCAAGCAGCTCTTCTTTGCTGAGTGTTTGCATGTGTGATGATGATGGTACGTATCTTCAAATGTAGCTGGGCGCTGTTTGATCTGTTACCGTTGCTGTTGGCAATATTTATCCCTTGCAGAAGGCACAGAAACTTGGAAATGTTGAATACCTGAATGAATGTTTGCATACTTTGCTTCGTATGCTGTCATTTCATATTACATCTTATTTTTTCTCTAATTGCAGAAGAGGATAAATGACATTAAGAGAAATAGAGTCCAGCTTAGGAAGATTTGGAGGTGATGCCATAGCTCAGTAAGGTGTTTCTGGCAAGGAAAACCATCAGTGCTGCTTTTTTTGTGTCTTGCTAATGCAATGGGGAAGACTGACCTCAGAATAAATGGTCATTTTGTCCTGAAATGGCAATCCAGCACTGTGCCATCTTCAAAGTGCAGCTTGCTAAGATAATAACTTYTTGGGCTTGATTACGTGTATTGAATACACTTATTTCCAGTAATTCCAGTAGTGCTGGCAGATTTGTTCGGTTGTGATCTTCATGGCTGTTGACAGCCGTGTCAATCTTAGCGATGCTTCTGTGAGGCTGTGTAGGAGTTGTGGTTTTGCTTTGAGTGTCGATGCGGGGACTTGAGCCAAGCTCTTCATTTTCTGATCAAGGTTCTCCTATAAAATCTCTTTTCTCATTCTGCCCCTTTGCTGCGCTGGCAACCTCMGTCCTGCTATTTGCTTTTAGCTTTATTATCCTTTAAGGAAGGGGACCTGGAGGTTGGGCAGCAACAGGAGTCAGGGAACACAGACACAGGGAACACAGACATTGCTTAACTGCGTTTATGTAGGACAGGTTTTCTCTTAAATGCAAAAATACTGTTGCCATCTGCTCCCTGCGCGTGGAGCAGGGCTCTCCGAGCTGGAACCGTGGACACCGGCTTTGCAGCTCTGTTTTACCCAGGGATCATCAGACTTTTCTGTCTCAAAATTGTCACCGAGGGGTTTGGGCTGGGTCTTCCACCGGATATTCATGATGGGCTTGAAAATTATCAGCGCTCTTAGGTCACCTTCTCCTGATGCCTTTGCCACCTTTGCTGCCAGATGTAGCTGCGTTAGGTTGTTTTTCTTTTTCCTCTTCCAACTCGAGATCAAAATTATTATTTGTTCAACCTTTTTAAAATAGTTTCAGAGTATATAGATGTATTTGTGTGTGTGTGTGTGTGTGTGTGTGTATAAAAAATATACCCCCAAGCTCGGGCTCCTCCCTCGCCAGGACGCTAACGATTCAAACTTGCCCATTTTCATGCTGTGCTAACGAAGGAGGGCTGAGATTTTCTTTGCCGCTCAAGGCGCATTTCAGGGTTGCTTCTACATGAGACGGAGGCCACATTTTGATCAATGCGCATTATTATTTATGGGCGCTTTGTGACAGACCTTTCAAAGGAGTCCATGTGCTGGAGGGTCGACGAAAGCGAGTTTCAGTTCTCCTAGTTACTGTGCCTGGAAACTTACTTTTATTTATTTATTTATTTATTTATTTATTTATGGTACTGTATTTATTTATGATGTGGGCAGCACCTCGAGCGCGGCCCGAGCGGCTCAGGCGGGAGGGCCCCGCTCCGCTCCGCTCCGCGCCGGGGGGCGCTGCGGGAGGACCCCGCTCTGCTCCGCTCCGCGCCGGGGGGCGCCGCGGGCTGCGGACCGCGCTCCGCTCCGGGGGGGGCGCTGCGGGGGACGGCTCCGGGGGACCGCGCTCCGCTCCGCTGCGGGCTCCGCTCCGGGGGGCGCTGCGGGAGGGCCCCGCTCTGCTCCGCTCCGCTCCGGGGGGCGCTGCGGGAGGGCCCCGCTCTGCTCCGCTCCGCTCCGGGGGGCGCTGCGGGAGGGC